CATGGCTGCCTGTGGAAACAACCCAATGCTTCCAGATTTGCCCAAAGCACCCAGACTACTGTAACTTAAAACCACAGGCAACTTCAGTGTTGAAAATTAAAACTTCCTGAGATCCCTTTAGAGCTTCAGTATAATCTGAGTCAATACTAAGCCTTTTATCAAAGCAAAAATGTGCTGCCCAATGTGGATAAGGAAATTAATAATGCATGCACCAGGCCAATACACAGTTGTTTAATTATTCTTATCCAATTCAGAAGTCAGCTGGTACTTGCTGTCACCAGTTTCACACCAAACATTGCCACCTTCAGCTTGGAATTTGAAAGCATCTTCTTCAGCACTAGAAGTGGGACAACATTTTGTTTTCCAGTTTAACCTCTTCTTGCCAGTTACAGACCACTATGGCACAAGACCTTATAGAGAAGAATGCTAATTTTTATAACACAGTGTAAAAGTCTTGATAGATTCTTCCCCATTCTGAAATGCTGGGATAACTGATTATTCCTTTTCAGACTTAAATACACCAGCTACAGACCATAGGGAATCTCTTTGATCTGACTAGGGAACTAAGAAACTCCCCTGTCTGCAGAGCATCTTCCTGAAACATAGAGAAGTTATTCCACATTTGCACGGAAAACACGTCCACCTGACAAACAGATTTTAGAACTCGGGAATTAGAGCTTTCCACCACAGCATGCGTAGTCCAGACACAGGAACACGGAGCCTCTTTAAATTGGTGGGATTTCCATTCATTCCCTTATCAAGCTGAACATGACTCATCATCGGTCAGTGCACACCGCATGCACGCGCTGCGCTGAAACTAGCTTTTAAATAAGCTTTCTTTGGGGTGGGAGAGCACAGAGCGCGTGGGGGGGCAAAAACACTGAGAGAGGGAAGGCTTCTTTGAAATCTACCGTCAGTGAAAAACAAATCAACATTGCAGGCCAGATCCTAGGTTCATTTAAATACATCAGTGAAGTTAGTACATTTTATTCCAGGTGAGGATTTGTTCTTTGAATTTTGCACCACTTTGATAAGACATGTCTAAGCAACAGTCTTTTACACTGTTGATGCTACTAGCAGCAATTCTGAGAAGGCTAAGTTTATTTTGCTGCATTTGAGCACGTCATCCACATAAGCTGGTTATAGCTCCCCAAAACTTTATTTCAGAGACTCCAGAAAGAATTCACCCTCTAGTCTAAATCTCTTGTGATCATAGATGACACAGTACCTGCGAGGACAGCCAGCAACTGCTTTCTGACAAGCCTGTTTTATCACTATTTCATTTTACAGCAAAATGCAATCACTCTACTCCGTCAAGCTTCCCTGGGCCTGCAGAGTGCCCAGCCAAGTGAAAACCCAGACAAAAGTGCAAGCCAAACGAAAAACCTTGCCATGCCCCGTATGGATTGAAGAACAGAAAAAGAGAAATGGTAGGTACGTAAAACGGGAAGGTGCTTGTTTACAGGATATGCAGTCATTTATATTTAGCCGCTAAATGTTCCATGCTGCTGGTGAAAGACAATGAGGGAAGTAAAGTGGCTGCCAGATAGGTTAACCACCAACTTTAATCTATAGTTTCAGTATTGCTGGGCAGCTGTTTCTGGGAAGCTATGCCAGGATGCAGAATGGCAAGACAACCCCTACTCCTTTGTTACATCAGCCCAAAGGACAGGAAACAAGCATTGCTGCCTTCCGTATGAGTAAGACCTACTAAAAGGTAATATTGATCTCTTCATGCTTTGGAGGTCACTTTGTGCCTTGAAAAATGTCTGTTAAACTGATGACTTGATTAAACCAAATAAGTGAAGAAAGATACTCTATTAATTTCAGAGCTGAAAACAATATAACATAGTTCTTTCAGAATAAAATAACACTTTTAGCTTCATCATTTGACATAAGTTCTTTTCCATTAGCAGACAAAATGCTGGAAATCCAGTGTCCTGTACAAGAAGCAAGAGATCTCCTTCACCTTTCCTAAACCATTCAAAATAAATCTTGACATTTGTATCGTCCTCCTCGGAGCTACTCGGTTATGCGACTGAGCCATTCCTGTAATTGGCTTACTGGAAGGACGACTGGAGCAGCAAGACTTCACAGACATAAGAAACCTTTCCTTATATTTCATGTGGCTCTCAAAGACAAATATGCCAGATACAGCTCTGGGTTAATGAAGAATGTGTTTGTGTCAGCACTGACATGTTATTTTCAAAAACTATGCAAACTCAACAAAAAAAACATGCAATGATCAGAGAAACTGTTAGGAGTTTTCTGCACTGCAGTCATCTGTTCTAGATGAATACAACAGCCAAAACACAGTAAAATTTCCCCTCTTTTGCATATGCAATTATTTGTGGATTAAGTACACACCTAATAGATCTGTAAAATATTACAGACAGAAATGACAATACAAAAAGTAAAGGTTAAAACTAAGAAGCTAGCTCTTTATAGCCAAATGCCTGTAAAGTTTATTTGAATTGTTTCTTATCCCAACGCTGCATAGGTTGTTCTATAGACAGCAATGGAGATATTCCGCTAAGTTAAGCATATGCATCCGTATCTGCAGGATCTTTTGCTTTCCAACACGGAAGACTGATCACTATCTATCTATCTCACCCATCCCACCGACCAATATCGTGAGTTTCTCGGTTGCAACTCTTCATTCAACAGGTCATTTAAATAAAATATTCTAGTTTCATCAACTGCAAATACGAATGAGGCTGACTACAGCTTCATATAACCAGCACCCCGACTCTGACAGTGATCAAACGCGTGTGCCCAGGGAAGAGCGCTGCATGAGAGGAAGCATTTACTGATGCTTTCCCCAGAGAACTCCCAAGCCCCATCAATTTACCAGCCAGGGACTGACTGAGGTTTAGACTTTGAGTGCGCTGCTATAAAACCAAATGGGGAGAATGAAGATTTTGGAAGCTCAGGGACTCCTGCTTGGCTTAGCTGACTGCAATTTTGACACGCCTGTTTATCATCATGTGAACTACATTAGATTGCCACCATCTTAGGCCCTCCTTTGTGTTCATAATTTTTTTTTTTTTTTTTTAAAAAGCAGATTATTTCCTTGATTTGGCAGGATACACGAACTAACCAGGATTCAAGGAAGTCTGAAGTGATTATTCCCTGTATTCTTAAAAGATGTGCATTCAGATGCTTTGAAATATTAATCTCCTAGGATCATGTTCTCAACTTTCATATCGCTGAATTCATTTATGTAAATGACAAACATGTATCCCAAGAACAGGAAAGAATAATCCAAAGCCTGAATAACACCTCAAAAAGGATGAGAGTTAGCTCACTGCAATACAAAGCAGCTCCAACTGCTCCAGACTGTTCCTTCAGCTCAACCAGGCTTTGCGAGAAGATGATACTGTCTGTTGGACAAGTACGACTGATTTGGACAGCAGTCTCATTGCTGACCATGACTGAGGGAATGAGATCCCCACCTGCAACACCACGAGCTCTTTCATTTTAGGCTCTAGGCTGAGCATTTTCAGGCTATATTGAACAAGAGCAGAACTCTGGGATCTGCGAGGGACTTGTATTAGTTTTCCAGCCAAGGTTTAAGGTGCTGGTTTTAAACTATAAAAGCTCTTGATGGTTTGGGGCTTAGTCATAAAGCAGAGATTCCCCAGGCAGGTTCCTCGCCATGTCCCCTGGAAGTGGAAAGATGTGCTGGGAATGAAGTTGCTGCATGAGAACCGTGACACAAATGCCCATGGATGCCATCGTGCGTTATCATTCCAGGTTCACTACAAATATTTTTTATAATTTTTTTTTTAAAGAAGGTGAACTGAGGAATACAAAACGATTAGATGTATATTTTGACATATTTATACAAAAAGAACAAAATGAAGAAAAACTGCAAAGAACGTGTGCTAAAGATTTTTCTTGATTAATAAAAATAGAAAATGAGAGATGTATTAAGATGCATTAATTTTGTTTTGGTTTACCATTCATCCCTTCCGATTTCTCTCTTTGTAACAAAGAAAAAGAACCAGGCAAGGGGAGTAATATAGGAAAAACTTAAAAAAAAAACCCAACCCAAACCCAGAAATATTACAAAATGAGTAAATTTTCAAGGCAAGCCTTCTACATCATTACATTTTCAGGGAAGCTTGGGGGAGGAAATAACACACACTGAAAAGAATTCCTTTTAATGAATTCTTTTACATGATAAAAATTGCTCTGCAAGAAACCTTTTTCATGCTAACTGTTTAGGGGTGAGGGTAGGGAGGAGAGGGGAAGATGCAAGTCTCATGAAATTTTACCAGTAGCTAATTAAATACATAGCTTCTGATTTTTAGCATCATGGACTTCAGGTATATGATTTATTACACCAATCTAAAAAACCAAAACCAAACCCCGAGCAAGGAAAAAACCAAATTCTTTTCTGTAGGTAAGAAAAATACTCACTGATGCAGATCACTAATTTTCAACAATCCTAACAAACTCTGGCTGTATGGAGTAGCTCTTTCTTTCTACCAACATCAGAAAATGTAGAAGGCTGAAGAGGAAACGAAAGTTAAATCAAACCATTTAAAAAATACAGTACTGTGACAGATTTTATTTCATTTTTATCAGTACTACATGCTTACTACCACTGGGAACAGACATGCTTTTTTGGGGGTTTTGTTTGTTTGTTTGTTTGTTTTTTTGTGTTTTTGTGTTTTTTTTTTTAATCTATATTAAAAGTTGACCTAAAGCTTGCTGTGCCTTGGAGAGCTGGCTCAGGAGTTAGCTACATGAATTTTTATTTAAATAGATAAGCACTTAAGTTTGAAAATAAGACAAATACAGGTGAACAGGAAAATTAAATTACAAATTCAGTTCATACAAGTATCTCTTATGCTATGCACTAAGTCCTGTTAATTAGCCGTGATCTTTCAAAAGTTCTTAAAATATTTATGAAACATTATTTACAAATTATATAAATAAATCCTAGGTCACTTTTAAATTAACCAATACAACAAAAAAGTCCTTTTTGTACTGTGTGTACTAAAAATGTTCTTGTTTATTGATCATAACCCAGTTTGCAGTATAAAACATTTGTTCACTTACATCAAAATGGGTTCAAATAGAAGGAAGGAAGGTACTGGTTTCAAAAGAAAACAAAACAATATTATAAATGCTTAAAATCAATGAGGCTTCTTAATGTTCTTTTCTGCACAGTTTGCAGTCATTTTCAGAAGTCCCTTCTACAGTATTTGTCTTGTGAACAGGTCATCTCAAAATAGCAGAGACATAGTTTCAGCAAAGGGAAAATATTCAGTACATTGCTCACACTTCACAAAGACCTTTTACCAGGAGGGAAAGGACAGAGAACGGAATGTCAGTGGCCAGCACAAGCCTTTACAACATTTAACTTAAAAGGCAGCATTTATAGAACTAATCACAGACTATACACATCCTGCACTGAACAGCAATCAAAAGGACTGGAAAATATACATTTAGGAAAACAAGAGACCGATGGTTTTCCATTACCTTTGTTAAAATTAATGCTTTTCTCCTTGTCTTTTGTTTTAAAACCAGCATTGACACCACCAACAACTACAACTACCTTTGCCTTTAACATAATATATGCCAGGTAACTACTGTACGTGAGAAATGTACAATAAAAGGAGAGAAACCACTGAATTTCCTATGCAGACACATGAAAATATAAAGCCATACAGATTCCAAAGTGCCATGAATACCAAATTCAAGTGATGGTTTATAGCATGTAGGAAAGAAACTAAACGGAACTTGCTCTATGGGTTGCCGAACCCTTCGGCTGTATCTTCAGTTTCCCCTTTGGCTGCTTTGGTGAGAATTTCCATCCATTTCATCTGCAGTTCTTCATCTTCTGCACCGAAATATAGAGTTTGCTGGGACTGGCAAAGCTTAAAAACATGCTTTACTTCAAACTTCTCACCAGAACCTGGTAAACTGACTTCATATCCAGGCAGAGGAATAGGACGTGGGCTCCGTCCATCCTAAAGAAGAACGAACAAATGTAAAAATTCAGCCACAAATGGTATTTGAAATGGGAAGAATGGGGGTATACCGCATGAGGAGGAAAGATTTCCTCTTAATGAGATTAAAGAGACAGCCGTTTCAAACAGTTTAAAACTCACTTTGAAGTAGTAAGATGTAACTGGAGACGCACTACCCTACACCCCAGACGCGGTCAGGCGCTCAGGCTAGGCAGCTGCACCACGACTCTCGGTGTTGTCTCGGTGTGTGCTGCCAGCTGACGAGCCCCCGTGCCAGAGCCACAGCCGCCATCCCTGCCTGCGGAGCGAACACGCACGCGCACACTTAAAGAAGCACATGACCGCAGTTCCGGTGGACGCGTGCATTCAGCTCCTCGTTCAGTATTGTAGCTTAGAAAATAGAGAAGAGGCGATATCGACTGCTTAAAACAATAAAAAGCAATGACTTATCGGTGCTTTGTTCTTCTTATTTAACAGACTTCCTTTCACAGTAAGAATATAGATCCAGAAGTGGCATGGCTGGGGACTTTCATGTAATTTCACATAACTTATGCATGTTGTCTTTTAGAAAAAACCCCTTTGCCTTAGGTACAGGCAATCAGATCCAGCTGAGAATAGTTCAGCGTAGTGCCTTTTGAACCTCATGGGACATTTGTAAGATTGGCTTAAAGGAGACAAATAAGCAGAGCTGGACACTGAGAGACACAAAGGCAACTATCTGGAAAAGACTTTGAAATAAAAGAGAATTTCGGGTTTTAAACCAATTGGTGAATCTTCTCAGAGGGTCTTGGGTTATTTATGATGCCTTTCAGAGATGTCAAGGAAGTTAAAGCTCAGATTCTTGAACATCCTTTAAAGGCCGGATTAACTCCCAGATCTGAGAAGCGATACACCTCTCTAGCAGTCACATCTTGAGCATCAACCAACTCCTCTACTAAGCTCTCAGGAAAGGCGTACTGGCAAGGCAGGACGTGCCATGACTGAGCAAATTGTTTCAACTGATGCCAGCAAAACATGTTCAAAGGTGGGTCCCCAAACTGAAGTCTAAACTACACCGGCATCAAGCATCGTCTGTAAGAAGCCATCCCCTCTCGTAGCAGGTACTTGCAGCCTATGCAAGTTCAATGCCTCGTACCAAAGTGGACAGCGCATCCCCACAAAGAGGTGGCAGTCATTTGTTTGTCACCCCATACTGAATGCAGATGACTTAGTAAATCTGGAAGGGGAGCGCAGCTCTGAGAACAAGAGCAATAAAACTCTGCTTTCCTAACATTTAGACTAAAGCAATTCAAGTTTCAGAACTGCTCACATCAATGCAGACACATACATTAACTAAAGGGGAAAAAAATACACAGTCAAAAATGTGTCTACACATTTTATTAAATCAATACAGGTTTCCTGATTTATTAATCTACTACTTGTTGTTGTTATGCAAAAATGCCAGAGTCCACCTGCTTAAAGACCAAGCACTATTCAAGGAGATTTACATCAACTTTGGGTCAAACGCTAAAGAATTCAGTTTCTATTTGAGTGCAAGTCATTCAGTTAAAAGCAGCATACACTTTCTAGATCCTGGCACCACAGCTGCATCTGTGTAACAGGGAGGTCTTGCTCATGCAGAAGTCTGAACTGCATGTAGAGAGTAGCTCTACACCTGGATACGTGGTGGTGCTAAAGCAAGCAAATATGGGACAGATGAACACAAAAAGCACAACAGCACATGCAAGCTCAACCATGCCTGCTTCACTGACCTTGTTTTAGAAGAATAGACACTAAGACTTGTCACATGTAAAATTGGAGGTTGCCCATGACAATGAAAAATGATATTGCTTGTAGCCAAAAAGTGCAGCGTAAAAGCAAATCGATGTTTGAATTGTACCTGTTACACCTACCCAACATATGCAGACACAGGCAAATTAAGCAGACTGCCTTTGGTCTTGCTTCCTCCCTTTTCTTAACATGATGCCTTTGCCACTTTCTCTGTACCTGCCTGATCCAAAAGGAAGGGATTTAAATTATCTCTGAAAAGCTGCACTACTGACAGATAAAAGGTGAAGCACTCAGCCTCGAGTCATACCACACACCCAAACCAGATCCCTCTGCGGGACCACAAGCACCTCTGGATTTCCTCTGCCACAGAGCCGTTCCCCTCCTACCTGGAGTCCAACAGATCCAGGGGCTGTTCTGCACCCAGGAAGAATTTGGGCCCTACACCAAGCATGTAAGTAGGATTTACAGGCACTACAGCGAGATAAATGTCATATGCCATTTTTAAGAGCCTACTAGATTTTGCTGGTTGAATTGTTTTTTTAAAAAAAATATTTCTGTGTGCAACATACTAGGGTTGCATGATGTCAGAATTTCATCAAACCAAACTACCCAGTGCTGAGAAGAGCTTTGCTTTAGGGTCGATTGCAACCATTCTCCTGAGATAGTGAGTGATAGACGAATTTCTACAGGATGCGTAATTCTGTCAGTAATCACAAGCATTGTGCACTCATCCTGACTCTAAGCAGCATAATACTAATGTGTTATTTATCTAGGTAATTACAGCAGCATTTATTTATTGCTGTATTACCGCCATTACAACACCCAGGGTTTAAGACTTGGGAATGGATAGCTCAATTCTACTATACAGGTAGTTCTATTTCATGCACGCCTCCACACAGACATCCCTCTCCCACTGCACAACTCTTCGCAGCATATAAGCTCTCCCACACAAATATACAGAACAACAGTTACTCACTGATGGACCCCTATCATCTTCCCCTACTGCTTTTGAGTAGGCTTAGAAAATCCCTGTTTTTCTATCCAAACTCCACTCTCTACCCACTTACGATCTAATCCCAACCCTGCACAAACCGTTGGGTTTGTCACTCCTGTGACGCGATGGCGTGCCAAGATGCAAAGCTCTGCAGGACTGTGAAAAAGGACAGGCAGAGTTTCGTGCAGGGCCTGTTAAAGCTTCACCTAAACAGGGTCAACGGACAAGCCACAAAAATACTTCTCTCAAACCCTGAGCCCAGCTCAGCTACTCCCTTATTTTCCAGGAGTAAATCACGTTTACATGAAGAATAAAAGATTTTTCTTCAGAATTTATAAAGCAAAATTTTCTCTTGGATCAAACTTGATCATCATTACATACACTAGCTCTCGCTATACTACATTTACCCTCCGTATTTTTCCAAAATTCATTACTTCTCTAGCTAGCCGGGACTCCTTAATTCAGCATTGCTCAATCAGGTGTAGCTCACGCCAGAGCTCTGGAGGTAGTTAAGCATTTTACAAGGCCAACAGGGGCAGAAGCTTCAGGTGGAGCTCTTGGAAAGACAGAGCAATTTCCATAAAACCACTGATCCTTAAGGCTGAGGTGGTCTTTGCTTGTAAGCAAACTCGTATAATTCCACTCAGGTAAACATGACAAACAGCTGCACAAATGCTGTCTGTTTGAGGACAGATAAAATTGGTATGATTTCCATACCTACATAAGCTGTGAATTTTATCCTCATGCATAAAGCCTTATGCAAGACTTAAACCATGAACACTCAGGGGATTAATGCATTCTCCTGGAACAAGGATCTAAAGCAAAAGAGCAGTTTTCTTGCTACTTTAAGGCCTGCAAGTTGTATTTCCATTTCCACTGGCATCCCTTCTTTGGTGTGAGGGCCGGGGGTGCGGGGGATGAAAGCTGTCAGGGATCTTACTGTATCAGAAGCTCCAGATTCAGCTTGGTTTACTCCTTCTTCCCAAGAGGCAGCTATCCCTTCTGTCCTTTTTAAAAATAATCCCCTAACTTTCAAACTCCTACAGTCATGCTTCACTTGGTCTGTGTTTCAAGACCTTTAATAACATTGTTGGCAATATTATTCCCAAAAGGTACCTTTTTTTTTTAAGGCACTGAAATGCTTCTTTGCAGGCCTAAAGAGGTTTGTGAGATGCATCAAGGTGGTTGTACAAAACAAAACAACACCTGGGAAAATAACATTCAAGCATGTGAGTGGTTCCCGACTGATTCCAGACACTCAGCCACCAGGAAAGAAGCTCTGAAAGAGATTTTTTTCAGAAGTCTAGTGAACGGTATGTAAACCAGAACTAATAAGAATGTTGGGTTAATATCAAGGAATGGGATTTGCTTTGTTATTTTTTTTCTTCAGTTGGGTGCAAATTGAAGAAAGTATACGAGTGGGAGTGGTAGGCCCTTGAAGAAGGGACTAATTTTTGTTGTTTATAGTCTCAGACTGTAATTGGTGATTCCTGACAGTAAATCCTGGCCTGGTTATTGAATGTAAAATAGATCAGCCTTGTCCTCTGCTTTCCCGCTGCTTTACTGGGAGATTTATCTCGCACCTGAAGTAGTCGAGGACACTAACCACTAAATTTAACTGTCATAAAATCGACAATCAGTGTCAAAGGCACCCTTTTCCCCTAAAAATAGGATCTTACTAATAATGTCAACAGAGGCTCACGATCAAATTTGGCAGGACATGGATCAAAGAACATAGCATCTGAAGCACAGAAGCTCCTCCAGCTTCCAACCCTGGCTTTACACGACTGTCAGGAGCAGGCCTGGAGAATCAAGCATCATTCTGCTGTGCACTAAATACAGCTGATCAATGTCCCCTGGGTTATTAATTGTGCGGTCCTGAGACAATCCACTGGGCATTAGGCGGATTTCTCTTTCTAGGTCATACCATGTCATTTTTGGCAGAAGATAAGCAGTACTGCAAGATGCACTTTTCACAGATGCTGCAGTCTGAACAAAACTTTGTCACAGGCCGTTCCTAATTTCTCATCCACTTGTGACCATATTGTGTTCTTGTTGTAATTGCTTGTGAAGAGATGGAACAGTCAAGAATATTAGTATTTTCTACTGTGACTTTTAGTATTTTCTACATACTAAAAAATCTGGGGGTGCTGGTCGGGCTGAACATGAGCCGGCAGTGTGCCCAGGTGGCCAAGAAGGCCAACAGCGTCCTGGCCTGGATCAGGAATAGTGTGGCCAGCAGGAGCAGGGCAGGGATCGTGCCCCTGGACTCGGCACTGGTGAGGCTGCACCTTGAATACTGTGTTCAGTTTTGGGCCCCTCACTACAAGAAGGACGTTGAGGTGCTGGAGCGTGTCCAGAGAAGGGCAATGGAGCTGGGGGGGGGTCTGGCGCACAAGTCTTATGAGGAGCGGCTGAGGGAACTGGGGGTGTTCAGTCTGGAGAAGAGGAGGCTGAGAGGAGACCTTATCGCTCTCTACAACTACCTGAAAGGGGGTTGTGGCGAGGTGGGTGTTGGTCTCTTCTCCCAAGTAACAAGTGATAGGACGAGAGGAAATGGCTTCAAGTTGCACCAGGGGAGGTTTAGATTGGATGTTAGGAAAAATTTCTTCACCAAACGGGGTGTCAAGCATTGGCACAGGCTGCCCAGGGAGGTGGTGGAGTCACCATCACTGGAAGTGTTCAAAAAACGTGTGGATGTGGCACTTCGGGACATGGTTTAGTGGGCACGGTGGTTTTGGGTTCATGGTTGGACTTGATGATCTTAAAGGTGTTTTCTACCTTGTAATGATTCTTTGATACTATAATCCTGGGTGAGGAAGGCCAAAGAATTTAGACCTCTCTCCCTCTATTCCCACTCTCCTTCCTCAAGCCTGCCTGCGTGACACACTCTGGGTTGGTTTGTATGGGATACAGGGTTTCCACTGGTCCTTTGCTGAGGCACAGTTCACATCAGCCGAAAAGTTTCAAGCAAAGCCATTCCTCTGCTTTGCTTTTTAAAGCTTTTTTCCTTTCCCCAGACCCTGGCTCCAGATAGATCTGAAGATTGAGTTTGTTGCATTCGTTTTTGTGCTTTGTTTGAGGCCGCTTGCTTTTTCAACTTGTAATTTCAGTCATGCATCCCCTGTTGACTAGGAGGGAAGCCAGGCAGCTCGCTGCCCGCGGGACGAGTTGGAAGCTTACCCAGTGTGGGGTTTGAATCCTAGACAAAGCCAAGTGGGCTGTGCCTGGAGCTCCAAATTCAAGCTTTCAGTCTCTCAAGCACTACGCTTAAAATATTACCCACACTTGTTTAAAACCAGAGGTGCTCCTGCTGACAAGCAGCAAAACGAACACACTTCTAAGGACAACATGTACTTCTCGTTGAACATTTGCTTTGGGGTAAGCTTTACCTTGAATAGCTTTACAAAATCATGGGTAATACTTGTTTCCCAGACTGTTCCTAGCCACAGTCGTACAAACTAACGCTACTAAAGCAAACCCTCATATCACTGCAATCACAGCAGGGTGATGGCAGCCTGAATTCGTACCCACTTCTTCTCCCATCCTACCCAGGAGATAAAACAAAGCTGTATATAAACATGTCAAACACCGAATACAAAATTGGATAAAGGGGATCTCATTTCAGAATTGTCATTCTTTATCTTCAGCACTAAGGATGCATGACTGATATTTCTATTTCAGATATTCTATCTTGGATATAGATATTTCTATCACTTGACTTTCATCACACACAAACGCTAGTTAGCTTCAACAGCACACTTTAAAAAAATGCTTACCACAGTAATTATTTCAAGTAAAGACAAAATCATATGATGCTATGACAAGGAGCGTTACCAAACACGGTCCATTTTTCTGGCTGAGGAATATCTACATTTCCACAAATTCCTCCACCCTCTCAACCCAGAACTAGGTTTAAAAAAAAAAAAAAGAAAAGCTTGAACCAGCAATTGCAATATTCAGACTGCTTCACAGCTCTATACATTTCACAGGGAAGTGCCTTCCCTAATGACAGGGTAATAAAACCTTTGAATACACCTGTCTGAAACCCCTAAAAAACCCAAAACATAACCAAATTATCCTTGTTTTGTCCTTTTTTCTTAAAAAATGGAAAAGAAAAGCGATGAGCTTAAACATTTGCTCACAACCGTATCAGCAGTAACTACAGATAACAAGGAAATCTGAAATCTCTGAGGCTTTGTGCTATATTCAGAATACCAAGATCATTTTTGTTGTTGAAACCAAGCCAAATCCTTTGACCTATTTCTCAGCTTGACATATTTTAACTTATGCTTTTTTTTTTTTGGCTGTGAGTTATCCCTCACATGAATGTCATTTTACCTGGCTACTTCCTTGCAGATACAGAACAAGAGGTTCAGTCTTGGGGATGGTCACCCACATTTTGTACCAAGTCTTCCCTTTTTCAAGGAACTGGAGGTAGCTGCTGAAGAGGCTGTTTTCAGCTGCTAAGATGCTTTGCTTCTGGATGAAGGGAAAAAAAAGAAGAAAAAAGCCAGCTGTTTCCATTGATGCGTATGTGGGCAAAATATTTAGAATTAAGTATAAAATATACTTCATTTCAGTTGTCCAGACTCAAATAATACTGTAGGGCAAACGCTGGATAGCCCAAAACCAAACAGAAGTTTAATTATTTTTAATATACCATCCAGAAATAGCACAATTCCATGTAACAGAGGCAGATGCTGAACTACTGCTTCTAGCGGATGTGAAGTTAAACTCCACCTCCACCACGTAAAGTGAGAATGGCAATTAAGATGAAGCAGCTAGTTTCTTGTTTAGTAAAGTAGGCTGGGAGATGATTTCAAATTAATGAAAAAGGTGTATTAACAGACAGTCTTGTGCATAGATGCAGAGAGATGTGAGACAAATCAGAGAGGACTGGGGCAAAAAAAAAACCCCTGACAGACAGTTTTGCCTTTTGAGAGAAAGCAGAGAAAAACAAAATTCCTGTTCACATTAGACTTTGCACAGAAGTCTCCTGGGGATTTCTGGCATCTGCTAATAACATTTGTAAAGAAGCAATCTCCTCAGCTTCTATTAAGCTTGTTAAGTAAGTTCAGTGTAAATAGGAGGGGAAAAAAAAAGACCAGCTCTGATCTTTCTTTTTTATACACCTACTTTCTTGCATTTTACCTGATCCTTTGAAGATTTAGCACAAGGCTAGAGCATATGAGGGAAAAATGACTCTTTTCCTTGGGTTTTTACAGCTTTCCACTGTAATCTGCTTTCTGAAGTAAAGCCATAGGTCACATTTCACTGGTTTGCTTTTTGGCTTTTCAGATTAACAGAGCTCTCAGCTGAGTAGGTGTAGGTTTTCACTTTACTGGCAAACAGCTCTGCTGAAACAGGGCTAGAAAGTTTATCATGAGATACCACAGACTATACTGATGCATATTAAGTGCTCATCATCCGTAGGCATAGCTGTAGCATATATCTGAAAGTTTTGACGGTAGCAAGCTCTGGATCCAGAATCTTCTCTGCGTTCTGCAGACGTGGTAGTTCAGGAAAGGGCAACGTGCATTTGTAACTGTACCCCACTTTGTATTTCTGAGATTCTGGACATGCCTGGGTACAAAGCTGACAAAGCACCTGAGCAGCAGAGTTCACGCTGGCACGTTGTGCGAGCGTAATTTTACCTGTGTAGGTACATTTAGTAGCCTGGAAAGAAATATGACATGCTGGGAAGCAGAGGAGAGCAGGGCAGGGTCTAAGAAGACTATCTGAGGATGCATTTATTACAGGAGCTCTGGATATGCACGGGCAGGTTTACATTTCTTGCTCATGTCTAGCTCTTTTCCGTGTAGCTTGGTTCTGATGAGTGTGACAAGGCTGTAAGGCAGTCTGATGGCTCAGAGGGGTGCCTTCCAGAAAGATGTTCTTCAAGGTAAGACGTTTTTCAGTATAGGCTGCAACTGTTCCCCAGTTTTCCACGCAGTGCTCAAAGCAGGATGACAGCGTATAACAGCATAGCGGGGGAAGGATGATCTGCGATGAAGTTAAGTTCTCAGTGTTTCAGTGGCTCTTTCAAGAATCTGATGTACCCTCAGGAGATGCATCCCTGTGGGTCCACGTTCAATTGACATGAGTCCTCTTTTACACACGCAGTGACTTCTGGCTGTATTTCATACATAAAATAAATAAAACCTTTTTTTCTTCAGGGTGGCCCATGAAAAGCGTGGCATGTAATGGTACTCACAGCTCTGCCCATAGTCTAAAAAAAGCATTGGTAAGAGAAGGTTCAGTTGTTGTAGGTGAGGATAAAACAAATCAGTTTGCCAATATGTTTCTCGTTCTTGTAAAAAATAAGGGTAGGACGTGCTGCTATCATGGTATAAAGCTTGGTGACATCTGTGGCAATTGTGAAGCAGTAGTTTATACAGTATAATTTGCAGAAGTCACATCGCGGAGAAAAGTCTGCATTAGAGCGGGTTTGAGAAAGTTTCGGTGAATCCTGATAGTCATGGGTGCTGTGCTTTTGCACAATCAACTAAGAAAAAATTTGTTTCAATGGTATTTTGACAGGTTGTGAAATAAGAAGTGCAAAACTATCTTCTATATAAAGTTAAAAGTGAAAAAACAAATCTTATTTTGCCAAGTTTTGGCAATAGTTATTGTGCACAACTTAGGATTGGAAATGCACCGTAATAAAAAGTCAGAAGTTTCTCCTCTTTTTTGTTACTTTGAAAGCTGAAGCTTAGCTGCAAAACCCGTGTGCATCACTGTATGATCAACACCCTACAATGAACGCTTGCCATTTACAAACAGCATTCGGGCTGCACGGACATTCAATACAAGTTATAGGCCAGAGGTCAAATACCATGGTGGGGGAAAAAAGGTAACCAAACAATTTTATTTATTTTAAATAAATACATTAAAAAAAAAACCCAAAAACAAACAAACAAAAAGATATTCACAAGGGAAGCCAGCACACCAAAAATTTCTTAGCTAAATACTGTACCTCTGCAGCTAGTCTTTTCTTTTGTTCTCCAACTGCTTCCACTGCAGGGCTGCACGGGCTTACTGGTAACTGCAGAAAACACTCTTTACACACTCGATTATGACGGCTGTTATCTGCAAGTGGTTTGAACTCGGAACATTTTGCACAGATCACCTATATGAGAAAAATGGTGCTTTACTAGTCATCCTTAAATCCCTTCTCCAAGCAAAGTGACTTGCAGAATGGTCGTTATTAAAGTAAAATCTGGAAAACTAATGTAAGCATAAGACAGAGTAAGCAATATATAATATTTACTTGATTTACCTCCATTAAGAATGAACAGTTTTGTCATCACATGCTGTGTATCAATACACCTAATTAAAGAAAACATTAACATCATCCAAGTTTGCTTTTCTTTTCTTATACGCCTTTATGAGTCAAAAGGGCTTAGGCTGTAAAAGCAACTAGAGCTTTTTAATGCCAACCATAAAATGGTCTAGGAAGGGACTGACTGTCAGAGTAAAGGTGGCTGATGCTTCCGCATCAGTTAGGCAGTTCAGCCTGATAGAACTGAGGAATCCAAAAATCACTGGCCATTTTAAGAACATAGTCCAATGTATTGCCCATTAAAAACTATTCGTCTGATGCCAAATTAACACTTTTGATTCCTTTCCTCAGCTGCCAAGAGCACACAATGACGCATCAGTCCCATGAAACCAGCGCTTGTGAGGAGTGATGAATCTGCAGCTCTGGAACCTGATTTTTCATGCTTAAAATCTGCCTCTACCACTTGCTGTTGCACAGCTGCTGCAGGGAGAGAAACTGTGCCCCGGGGTGCAGCAGAGGCAGTCAGCCGGATTTGAATCCATTCTGAATGTCCTGTACAATAATACAGCCCAAATGGCCTTCAGGTACAAGTATTGGTTATTATATGCTTCACTGCAAGACATTAATTATTGTATGAAGGTAACTGCCTTAATTCAGCAAGTGTTAAACGAAGCACCATTCTGCCAAGTTACATAAACAAAAGCAAGCTAGCATTTTTAGAAACATGATAGTCTTTCCTTGAGACGAATTAACTTCTTTAATTTGGATGCTACTGCCATATCACACAACAGCGCATAACCAACAACTGTTTAACAATAAATTATTAATAATGCAATTCTTGTTATCGCTCTTCCATGGGAGAAAGCTATTATCTAATTTCTTTAATAATATTGAGCTTTGCAATGGAACATTTTAAACCTCCACAAATGTACTTCATGATTTTAGTAATTATTAATAAAAACAAACCCGGAAGGCTGACAATCCCAACTCCGGTGCAAAAGTGTCTCCTCCACAGTAATTTTATTTCAATCGCTGAGACTGAGGTTTCTTTAAACATCTTAACTATACATTTAGGTCTCCCTTCAGCTGAAAATTTATCTCCACTTCAAATGAATAATGGTATTTAAATAACATTATTCTGTACTAGTTACATTAGGAACACTGAACCATGAAACTCAAGTCACAGAAGGCAGGTTTCAAGTCATATTACAGAAATCAATCTCATCTTGGCTGTGGTTGTGATTTGCAGAAAAAAACCTGAGAATTAAGCTGTCAGTGAACGGCAGTGAGGAAGGGTGGCTAAGTGCCTGCAGTAACCTGGCCTTGAATCTCTAGGACTGATTTTTTTTGACTTTTCAAGCAGGAGGAAACCACTTTGGCGCAAGCAAGTCGTGACAACTCTGCTGCAGGGAAAGAAGAACCCATCCATCTTTAATATTGTACATTCTGTTCATCCTAGAAAGAGATGCTGCGTGAAGTAGGGCTGTCAGAAGGCCATCCAGTTTCTGCAAACAAAACATAGTGGACAAACCCCCTCCCCAGATATATGCTCATCTCCAGGGAAGGCACCACCTTCTTTTTATCCACTGAAGTGCTTTATTTGCCTTTAAAACAGCACAGACTAGGTCCCTTGCACCAGAGTTTTGCTCTTTTTTCCCCTGGTTCCCAGGGGGAAAAACAAGTGGAAAGATCTGCTCTGTCAATGACCTGCCATGAACCAGAACTTTTTTTAGTTCCTGCACTGAAAAAATAAAAAAATTCTCTTCAATGGTCTCTGCAGAACAAACTAAAAAGCTCAGTGCATTCTGATACTTACTGCCCCACACTGCTTGCAGTGGTGCCGCCTTTTAGTGATGGAGTTAAAGCTTTCGCTGCAGCTCTTGCAAGCCTGTTTCTCCTTGTCTCGCTTGGATTTGGAAGACTTCCTACAGGAATCACTCTGAAATGAAAAGTAAAATTATGTGATTTTTAAATAAATAAATTAAAAAAAAAAAATCACAAAACAATTCGTAGAGTTCTCCTACTGATAAAGATCCTCTTTGGGTTTCACACCATTTTAGACGAGAATTCACATCAACTCTGCCAATGGCCTGCGGCTGGATGGCTGGCTCAGCCATCGGGTGTTTCTGGTGTGGCATTATGTGATCGCAGATTGCTAGAGCCAATTCTTCAAGTCCCTCTCTGCCCGTTTCTGCCCTTCCAGCCAACGGAGCGACCTCATCTCACAGTCTGTACAGAGGAACTGGCAATGTGGGCTTGTCAACAAGAGCCTTCCTTCCAGCACCCACCTCTTCCTCCCCGCTGCAGCATGGCTTGGTGAGGGTAAATGTCATTGACTCTGTGAGTGCGCTGTAAACTCTTCTGTTCGTGGGGAGGAAATGTGAAGCTTTTGGGAAAAATGGCTTGACTGAAGAAGTGAACAGTGCTGGCAGTGGATTTCTGCATCACCGAATTTCAAATGCTTAATGTAAGAGTTTCCTTAGGCTCCCTCCCACCCCATGATGAAACAAAGCTCTTTAGGAAGACAAGGACACCTACACCAGGGACTTGCTATCAACGTCTCTTGGCAGAAGACACTTTCTATCAGCTGTCTAGAGAGCCGAGCAAGTTTAGCTGTTTAAGCTAAGCACCTAAGAAGGTACATAAAGTCACTTGGTATAATTAAACCCAATGGTACCATTTTCTGATAAACTGAAGAGCATTAACATTACAAGGGGCATTTCAACAATAACATTCAGCTTCACACAGAACTTGAAGTAGACTCCCTGTTTTGTTTTCTCTTTTAAATTAATAAATACTATTCCACCTTCCTAGTCAGGATAGCTATATGCAAGGGCAAGGGGCAGTTCAACAAAAATACAGCTTCACACAGAACTTCAAGTAGACTCCCTGTTTTGTTTTCTCTTTTAAATAAATAAATACTATTCCACCTTCCTAGTCAGGATAGCTATATGCAAGGGAACAGCAGCTCCCTGGGGGTAAGCCTGGGGCACCCTCAACCAGGCAGCCATCTGCATGGAGATTCCAGCCCAAAGCATGGCTCCTTTGGCACAGCTCTTTCATGAGAAGAGGTTTGATAACTCTTAATTTTCATTTGCGTGACACAATCATTTAACAAACTACTAGAAGGAGAAACATTTCCTCTAAATCAAAGGAACAGTGGTATTTTATGTTCTTTCTGAAAACCACACAGGTGAAGATCAGGCCTTTTGTAGGCTACAAAGATTCTGGACTCCTTGACACACACGCTTCCCTTTAAACCACATGTGCATACTAAGTCACAAGTTAAGTCCACTTGAGAGACAACAATTGTCTCAACAAATTTCCCCTTCCTCAAAGACTTTATTTAACACAAGGATGTGTGCATGTGGGGGGGGAGGAAAGGCAGCAGCAGTTACAATTAACAGAGGCTGCCCATGGATCACCAGCGCTAGGGAATTCTGCCATTCGCCCTAAGGTCTCACCTTAGTGGTTACAACTAACCTGCAGAAGTCACTAATACAAGTTTTCAAGCCAATTAAAAAAAAAAAAAATTATAAGCTGACACCACTCTCCCATCTTGCAGCCTCCTTGAGTCTCTGCCCTGCCATTCCCTGGTTACAGTGGAAATCACATTGTCTTTCAGCAGTTATTGAAACCACCCTAGCTTGTAATGGCGTTACACAACAAAACCACAACTAATTACTTTTAATTGGATTGGATCTTTTCATTTTTATTATCTTTTCTATAGCTGCAACAGCAATGTTTCAAACTGTATACAAGTACATAGGATGTTCTGCAATTTGGCTTGGTGAAGCACAGTCATACAGATTTGTTCATTCAGGAAAATCACTACACCCTCATACCCATACATATTAACTGCTCAGCAAAACAGAATGCCTTGCTGAATCCAAGTCCTTCCCCACACATAAGGAGAGTGCAGTATTTCACTTTTCTTGTGAAGAACCAGATGTAACCAGTATGACATTGGATTACAGCAACCGAACAATGCCTTGGATGAATCACTGGCAAAAACGTTCCTTTCAGACTCTACTAGACCCCTCCAAGTAAGGCTTATTATTAAGGCGATTTGAAAAGCTTTTACTGATCAGCAGCAATCTACAGAGTAACTTTTTTTACATGTATCACATGTATTGGCTAAAGTCAGCTGTTTCTCACTTTCATTTTTATGGTAATGCTATTTAATTTTTTAGAAGACTGATTTTACCTTCCACTGGCTAGAGATGGATTCCCCACTGGTCAACCTTATTTTTTATCTTCTTAATAGTTAAACTTCGCATATAGCGAAGTAACAAGCCTTTTGATTCTTATGCTAACAACAATTTCACTGGTGTTACTGGAACAGCAAGAGCATAAATGAAGGCACCATTTAGCCTTGTAAGCTGTGACTGGAAGATAATCTTGATGAATGCTAAACAAAACCAGTTTTTTCAATCGATACTTAAAAGTGCCTGCATAGGAAAAATCCTGAAGTTCCTCTAACATGAATTGAATGGATTGCTTCATGTGGAAATCGGGTAATTTGATTTATACTTCAACAGGAATATCCATCATCATCCACATGCATGTTTATGTAACACAGATAAGACTCAAGTTGAATACTTCCTCTCCTGGATCTTCTATTCGACTTCCTCCTCAATGTGAAACAGTCTGAATCAGAAATACACAAGTGGCATATTAACAAAGGAAAGAAAGCAGAAAGGGCGTTACATTGGGCAAGATTTGTTATGACAGTTACGCATGAGTTTTTATTTTAGAACATTATATTTATTTCAGACCGTTATATTTTAACTCGCACTGTAGCTTACAATAAGCATTTAATACTAACTACACTAATCAAAAAAGGCCCTGTACAAAGAGGTCTTTAAGTGTTTGATGAATACCAGCAATGTTTCATAATATTTCTCAACATTATGAGAATACAGTGAGAACACAAGAGTTTGAAACATCACTGTTGCAGCTGTAGAAAAGATAATAAAAATGAAAATGTATTTTCTTTACGACTTGGCAAATTCCAATGAGCAATTATAGAAGAAAGACTTATTCAATATTGCATTATTTTACTGCTGACAGTGGGAAAGAATTAAGAAACCCTTTGCTTTCCATCCCTGTGAAAACTATGAGACTTTGCTGCATGGGCAGTCCCCCCACCCCACCCAGCGACAGCTCAGGAAGTTGACCTTGCCACGTACTTTTTAACTATACACTATCTGAACACACAGGTTTTTGTAGAAAACAAGGACGTGCATTGTAATTCACAAACCTTGTTCATCAAAGGTAAATTTAACAGTCACTTTGCAACTATGTCCTTTATTACACAAGCTACGCTATTTACTGTTGATGTATGTTAAGAGGGAAGCTAATGCAAAGCTGCCCTATCTTTAACTGGAATATGTTGGTAGTAATGCACTTGAATAATTGTCATATTTCTCATCTTTCTTGGTGTACCCAGCTCTGTTTTGAAGCTGGTGAGTCTTGACGGGAAAAAACACTTGCATAAAATCTGTTCAGAGCTGGGATCTGCAGTAACTTCGTTCAGACTGGGCTGTTTTGACCACGAATTTGTTTTTACTCCACAGCTGCATTTAACGCTAAATCTTATAGAAATCTTAAATCTTATACCCCAGCGAGAGGTACAGCTCATGCCTAGAGCTAAGTGACTGCAAGGTGAAGGCCGCCTGTGGCTGGCCTGCTTAGGAAAGCAGACATCACATCATTAGTGAACCACTGGAGTCTCCCTTTGCTTCTGAAAAGCAGGGAAGAAACACTGAAGAGCTGGTAGGAACTGCAAGAAAACCAGTGGGCTCAGGAGACTATTGTTCTGTTATTACTTGCTATATATTTCGTTCTGTCTGGACCAGTAGGTAGGAATTAAGGAATTAAGCCTCAACGCTGCACACGCAATATATACACACTCCGACGAGACTCTCATATGGGCAGATGCATGAGCAGCAAAGGGGTTTCAAATCTTTTTCTTCTCATTATGCTTATACAGCTGTGTATTTTCCATTTACAAATTACACAATTGGAAACACCCGCAATGGGGCAGAACATCAGTAGGTGCTTCTGGAAACGTTGAATATATGTGAGAAATTAATTTAAATTATATAGTATATTTTGCACTTTGTAATGCAGCAAAATGATTTAGTTTGTTTCTCTATATGCCGATGTCATACATGCAAAGTTATATGTCAGACAATCTTCCACTGGCTTGTACCTTCCTTGTGCATGCAGAAGATTGAAGCATAAACTATATAAACCGCACTAGCAGTGCACAATGTTGTTCAACAGCAGATAAACCTTCTGCATTAGGTTTTCACTGTCTGGTCGTGCTGACATGCAACACTGAAGAAAACCTGAGCAGACTGTTCAGGAGACTCAGCGGAACCACGGGAAAGAGATTAGTTTGCTGACCACCACTACCACCAAGTGGTTTGCATGTGGAAGCTGTTAAGCACAGAGAGTACTTGCTCATGTACTCACTGAGATGTTTCTAAAGGGATGTCGTCATTAAAAATTAATTGTTTTCTAAAGCTGCAAATAACATCTGAATTCATTGCTCATGCTGATGTTACCCATTTGCTACAATACAGCAGAATGAGATCCCAGAATCGATACTACACAATTTTGGATATTTTTACCTTTGTCCTTTTGATCAACTCCATTTTTATTTCTATCTCAGGAATTAAATTTTTTTTACATACACAACTTAAGGAAAATTACTTAATATTTCAAGATATACTATGCAAATCACTGACATAACTACTTATAATCAACTAAAAAGATCTAAATATTTTTTTATTTAATTACAACTAAAATTTACATTTCCCTAAGAAACTTAAGACCAACAGCTGGCTCACTATAGCATCTGTAAGACAAGGAACAGGGGCGCTAATCGCAAAACTGACTAGAAATAAATAAAAAATTGCTTAGGGAAAATATGTAAACAAACAATAAACAGCAAGGAGTACAATAATTACAAACACTTATTTTTAATAAGCTCCTGTTTGTATAGGTCAGGTTGCTGGCTTGTGGAACAGCTTTTCATTGATAGTCTGTGAAGTCTACCACTAGGTTACAAGCTTGGCCAGAGGTCTGGAAGAGCCTTCCAAGTGGCTCCTTTGCTATTAAAAAGGTCATGTTAATACATAATACACTATAATATGTCTCAGCAGATAGGGTTTTTTTGTTGTTGTTGTTGTTTCTTCTTGTTGGGGCTTTTTTTGGTAAAGTCAGCTGACCCTAAGGCATTTCCTGAAAATCTGTTATTCTCAGAAGACGTTTTATAAGGGAGAGATAAGAATGCTAAAAAATAGACCTTATTAAGGACTCAAAACCTCTGGCTTGACTCAGCAGCAGCCACAGACGTTGTACAGAGCAAAATGAAAACTACCTTTAAAAGTGTATTTTGCTTTTGCAGCAGCCAGTCAGGCCAGAGATGTATGGAAGTACTATTATCGCCTCTGTATTGGCAGAAACATGAAAAGCACACTATGAAAGAAGCGCTAATCAAAATTTGGTTCTGGAGATGAAATCCTGAGTTACACAATATGACAGCATTAACCATCCAGGTTGCCTTGTCTCTCTTTGCCTTCCTCCGCACAAGCATTCAGTGTAACTCCCTCTCAGAATTTAAAAACAAACAAAAAACCACCGTAATAAACCTCTCCCAACACTACAAATGTAACAATCAACTTCCCTCCAGCCTAGGTTCCCCGTAACTAGGAGGATTTAAACTCACTGATGGAGCAAACTGCAAGTAGCTGTGGGTGTAACTTAGCCAGGAAGTTAAGGACAGGACAGCTGCAGCAACAGCCAGCAGAATATAAACTGATATACCGAAGTATCTCTGATTTTTTTTCTTCCTGCTGCAAAAGAAACATTACCCCCCCGCCTTGCTCCACCGAAAGTACTAGCTTCAAATTACGTACCCCTCCAAATGCACCAGCACCATCTGTTCCTGGCATCGATTCCACCGAGCTGGTGCTTGCTATCTGAGGGAAACAGAATGACACAGAACGATTTCAACACAGACATTCTTCCTAAAATATGTTAAACATTGGAAAAGAAAACGTGGCATCATTTGCTTTTAGCCCCTCCGCTATTTGCTTGTGAATACACTTAATTGCATGTGTACTCTGCCGTCCTCAAATACTGCGTTGACTGTGAAGTGGGTGAGTTTACAGATGGCACAGGATCGCCAAGCCTGCTCGTCCCTGCAGCGTCTGCCCGTCCCCGTGAGCGCCGAGGAAAGCGAAGGGCAGGTTTTGAGTTACACCGCTCCACTTGGGCCCTGCAAGCGCGTGCTTCGTGTAGCCAGTGCGTTCTGAGGAGCAAGAATATTTACTCCATTCCAACAGTACCCAGTTAAGTTTTTCTTGATTGCAATACATCTCTTAACATCTCAATAAATACAAACCGGCATCTATACGTATTCAACATATATACAGGGCAAAGAACAAGCTTATGTACACCAAAATCACAGGCTACATCCTAAAAGGAAACCCACCTCATAGAATCATAGAATGGTTTGGGTCACAAGTGAGCTTAAAGATCATCTAGTTCGAACCCCCTGCCGTGGGCAGGGACATCTTCAACTAGATCAGGTTGCTGAAAGCCCCATCCAGCCTGGCCTTGAACAGTTCCAGGAATGGGACATCCGCAACTTCTCTAAGCAACCTGTTCCAGTGCCTCACCACCCTCACAGTGAAGAATTTCTTCCTTTTATCTAATCTAAATCAATGCGCCTTCAGTTTAAAGCCATTACCCATTGTCCTGTCACTACAGAGCCTTGTAAGAAGTCCCTCTCTGGCTTTCTTATAAGCCTCCTTCAGGTACTGGCAGGCTGCAATAAGGTGTCCACAGAGTTTTCTCGTCTCCAGGCTGAACAGCCCCAGCCAACTCTCTCAGCCTCTCTTCATAGGAGAGGTGCTCCATCCCTCTGATCATTTTTGTGGCTCTCCTCTGGACTTGCTCCAACAGGTCCATGCCCTTCTTATGTTGGGGGCCCCAGGGCTGGACAAGGTACTCCAGGTGGGGTCTTACCAGACTGGAGTAGGGGGAGAGGATCACCTCGCATCACGCTTCTTTTGATGTGGCCCAGGATACTGTTGGCTTTCTGGGCTGCAAGTGCACATTGCTGGGTAATGTTGAGCTTCTCATCAACCAACGCCCCCAAGTCCTTCTCCTCAGGTCTGCTCTCAATCCATTCTCTGCCCAGCCTGTGTTTGTGTTTGGGATTGCCCCGACCCATGTGCAGGACCTTGTACTTGACCTTGTTGAACTTTATGGGGTTTGCATGGGCCCACCTCTCAAGCCTGTCAAGATCCCTCTGGATGGCATCCCTTCCCTCCAGCGTGCCAACTCCACCACACAGCTTGGTGTTGTCAGCAAACTTGCTGAGAGTGCACTTGATCCCACTGTCCAGGTCGTTGACAAAGATGTTGTCAATAACGACCCCTGAGGAACACCGCTTGTCACTGGTCTCCACCTGGACATGGAGCCGTTGACCACAACACTCTGAGTGCGGTCATGCAACACTTTGATGTGACCACCCAGGCAATTCCTTATCCACTGAGTGGTCCACCTGTCAAATCCATGTCTCTCCAATTTAGAGACAAGGATGTCTTATGGGACAGCTTTGCACAAGTCGAGGTAGATGATGTCAGTTGCTCTTCCCTTATCCACCAACGCTGTAACCCCATTGTAGAAAGCCACCAAATTTGTCAGGCACAATTTGGCCTTAGTGAAGCCATGTTGGTGTCACCAATCACCTCCTTATTTTCCATATGCCTTAGCATAGTTTAGCATAGTTTCCAGGAGGATCTGCTCCATGATCTTGCTGGGCACAGAGGTGAGACTGGCCGGCCTGTAGTCCCCTGGGTCTTCCTTTCTTCTCATCCATCATTAATTTACAGGAAGTTTGCTAGTTTGTAGGTGGTTCTCTAAACATTAGACTTTTTATGCTAAATTCTCCTGTTATTCCCATAGATCATTCTTCCTTTGCCAATCAGACAAGAGCTCATATTTTGACGCTATCCAAATATCCAGTGCATTTTTGCGCTCTAGCTTCATTCCATTTGGAAGCAAAAAGGTTTAACCTCTGTTATTAGAAATAACCTTGAACTATAGCTTTGAATAAGCAGACAAACTGAAGAGCTATTCATTATGATACCTAGTTGTATCTATTTATATACTAATATGATCAACTGACTCTTGAGAACAAGTGAATTAGCAAATGCATCTCTTGGGGCTAGGGCTGTGCCACCCCTGGAGCACTTCCTTAAGGAGTGCAACTTAATTAAAGGGAAGCATCACGTACTCAACTCCAGCTGACTACTTCTGCCTCCACAAAAACTCAGCAGCCCTAGGGTCTTCACATCATCTATTCCCCAGTCCCGTGGAAAGGAATGTCCACCGGAATCCTCATCAACCCAGGGTTTTAGATCCCTCTGCCTAGTAAGAGGACATCTGCATGCTACGACACGGGGCTTGGGAAAGGAAATGAAAAATGTGGAGAGAAAACGGGGTCTGAAGGAGAGAGTGAGAAAACCTGCAACAAGTTTAGGGAAAAGAGTAAGTATCTCTAGTTGCCTGTTCAGCTCCCCATGCCCTTTTAATATTTATTTGGAATAATGTACTAAAAATCAAATACCCTCTACTCTTAACCTGGGAAAAATTTCAAAAGGGCTTCTCCCGCTTATGTCACCATTACCACTCAAAGCATGTAAGATTTGGTATGGAGGAAGACAGTTATTCACATGCTTGTCAGACCTACCCCAGAGTTACAGGGAGGAACAGAAACAGTGGTGGGAAATAACGATGATTTAACAGGATCTAAAAATAATGATTTAACTAACAGAACCACTCCCAACTCTCAAATCTTAGGGATGCCACTTCCACAGAGCTCAGCTCTCTCACACTTTTCCTTGCCAGCACAAACTGTGTCCTTCCCCCACAAAAGCCTCCAATGCTTCTGAGATCCAGCCGTGGTAAAGAGGTCATTTGCCTTGGGAACAATGTTAGGTGGCTTTAAAAAATACCTTCACATAGCCATGAAATGCTGCAGATGAAAAACAGGGAAATGAGTGTTCTCTTTCTGAAGGAACTAAGCCACAAAGGGACCCTGAAGCTTTCTGAGAAGCAATGACTCTGAAAATACACCTCCTGACAGGTGAGAGTTTATTAATTGCTGTAGATTAATTGCACAGGCTTAATCTTAAGAATCAGGTCAAATGCCAGATCTCTGCACCTACAAGAAACCGCAAGCCTTCTGTAGGTAAACTACAGGCTGAAGATCATCCCTTAACGCTTTTATGAGCTTATGTAAGTCAGGAGGGAAAACAAAAGCATGGTAAGGATTGCGTGCAAAGGCATGCAGTGGTCATGCAGCTGAAGTCAGTCATAAGCACTGTAACATATCAAATGTATGGCCTGGGATGGGAGAAAAGCAATTTGGCTATTTTTCTACAGGCTTATTAGAACCAGAGTCCAATTTCTAGTAGCTGTTACAGATCCAGCCCGGAATCCATGAGTGCATATCTATTTCTTGACTCATGAGAGCAAAAAAGGAAGATTATTGTCATTTTTTCCTCTAAAGCATGCTGCCCAATATTCCATAAAGATGATGAGGTATCTATGGTGGATGCTACCCACAGCAGCATTTTTCTACGAAGAATGCTCTCAGTATTTGTCCAGTTTTCCTTACAGAACTACCTTCAGCTTTTTAACTGACAGCAATTTCTGCAACATTTAGCCGTGACACCAGTTTTCAAAGTTGATTATCTAGATAAGCTAAGCTAACCTCCTAAAAATGCAGGTTAGCATTCTGGCATAAAAGAAATCAAGGTGCATACTGCATTGATATCACAGCCAGGAGATAAACCAGACTTCGGCTCTGCTTGACTTCTATGAACCAGCAGTGTATAAAGATGTGGCTACACCATTAATACAGAAGCAAAATAAAATGGAATTTACAAAGCAAGATAATAACAATGAAGTTGAACAGACACTGTGTCTTAATTAGCTAGAAAGAAGTGTGCTTATTAGTTTGCTTATTAGCAAAAGATTTTTTCCACCAGAGCATCCTGGTTCTGAAGGCAGCCACGAGTTAACTTAAAATAGGCAGGAATTGATTGTTTTCCATTTTTTTCTGAGTATTTTTAGCTGATGGATAGTTCATGATCAATAAGCTATGCCGTATTCTGAAGATGGCTCATTGCTGGCTGCTATCAGCAATGGGATCCTAGACTCTGTGGAGGTTTGTGCAGATCTCCGCTGTCTGTCTGTGATTAATGCTGGGATGTGTATTGGGTTCATGCGGCCAGGGTTTGGTA